CCATTGCACTCCAGCCTGGGTAACAAGAGCGAAACTCCGTCCCCAAAAAAATAAAAAAAAGAAAAGAAAAGAAAGTCCTTTTCATCTGTAAAATGGGTAAATTAAAAAATAATAGAATGTTCTTGTTGAAGCAGTAAAATATTAACTTTATTAATTATATTTGAGCTCATGTCTTTTTTATAATAGACCTATTTTTAGAGCACTTTTAGGTTCACAGACTGAGCATAAGGTACAGATATTTCCCATACCTCCCTGTCCCCATGTATGTATAGCTTCCCCCACTATCTCCCACTCAGCAGCAAGGTTATACATTATTTGTTAGAATCAATGAACTTAGACTGACACATCATTATCATACAAAGTCCATGGTTTAGGGTTCACTCTTGGTGTTGTACATTCTGTCGTTTTGGACAAATGTGCATGACACATATCCACCGTAATAGCGTCGTAGAGAGGAGTTTCACTGTCCTGAGAATCCCCTGTGCTCTTGTTCCGCCCTCCCTCTTACCCCCATGGCGATCACTCATCTTTTTACCATCTCTGTAATGTGGCTTTTCCCAACAGTCTTATTGTTGGGATCATACAGTATTTGGCCTTTTCAGGTTGGCTTCTTCATTTTTTTTTTTTTTTAGAGACACGGTCTCTCACTTTTCTGTCCTGGCTAGACTCCTTGGGACTATACAGGTGCATGCTACAGTTTGACTAGCTTCAAACTGGCTTCTTTCACTGTCGTATGCATTTTAGGTTCCCCCATGGCTTTTCGTGGCTTGATAGCTCATTTCATTTTTGCACTGAATAATATTCCATTCTCTGGACACACCAGTTGGTTTATCCATTCACCTATGGAAGGCCATCTTAGTTGCTTCCACGTTTTGGCAATCATGAATAAAGCTGCTATAGAACATCTTTATGCAGGTTTTTGTGTGAATGTGTTTTTTGTTTGTTTGCTTGCTTGCTTGTTTTGAGACAGAGTCTCACTCTGTCCCCCAGGCTGGAGTGCAATGGTGCCATCTCGGCACACTGCAACCTCTGCCTCCCGGGCTCAAGCTATTCTTCTACCTCAGCCTCCCAAGTAGCTAGAATTACAGGCGCCCACCACCATGCCTGGCTAACTTTGTATTTTGAGTAGAGATGGGGTTTCACCATGTTGGTCAGGCTGGTCTCAAACTCCTGACCTCAAGCAATCCACCAGCCTCGGCTTCCCAAAGTGCTGGGATTACAGGCATGAGCCACTGCGCCGGACCTTTTAATGTGTTCTTATCTCATTTGGGTAAATAGCAAAGAGTGCAATTAATGGATTGCAAGGTAAGAGTGTGTTTAGGGCCAGTCATGGTGGCTAAATGCTGTAATCCCAGCACTTTGGGAGGCGGAGGGGGGAGGATCACTTGAAACCAGGAGTTTGAGACCAACCTGGACAACATATTGAGACTTCTGTCTCTACAAAAAATAAAAAATTAGCTGGGTGTGGTGGTATGCACCTGTCGTCCCAGCTGCTTGGGAGGTTGAAGTGGGAGGACCCCTTGAGTCTGGTAGGTCAGGGCTGCAGTGAGCCTTGATCATGCCTCTGCACTGCAGCCTGGGTGACAAAGCAAGAATTTGTCTCAAAAAAATTTTTTTAGTTTTGTAAGAAACCACCAAACTGTCTTCCAAAGTAGCCATACCATTTTGCATTGCCATCAGCAATGAATGACTTGAATGTTTCAATTTCCATTCCCAAATGACATATGATATTCAGTATCTTTTCATGTACTTACTATCCATCTATACATCTTCCGTGGGGTGTCTGTTCATATCTTTCACCCAGGCTAGTGCAGTGGTGCGATCTGCTCACTGCAACTGAAGCAGGAGCAGCCGCAAGAAACAGACCTCTGGAACACCAAAGTGTTTATTATTATTATGGCTTGGAGCCAGGCAACAATTTGTCTAAATTACCAACCTCCTCTAACAAAGAGAAGCTCTGCCTTTCTATAGGCTTACACTCTAGATATTACACATGAAAGAATCTTAGGTTCACAGGCTTAGAAATTACAAGTGAAAGGGTCTTGGGTTTACAGCTTTAGAAATCACATATGAAAGGGTCTTGGTCGATGGAGGAGTGGGGTGGGGGTTTGATCTTGTTTACTTAAAAACAATATCTTCTGGAAGGATTCCTTCACGCCATGCCTGCTATTTACAGGAATGTGATTTAAGAGGCCCAGCCAGCGAGCCTTTTCTTCTATTGAAATGCAGTGTGGAAGTCAAGCGGGGAGTTGATCCCAGATGCCTGGGTCTCCTTCCTCACCACCTCTGCCTCCCGGATTCAATCAATTCTTCTTCAGCTGCTTGGACTAGCTGGGATTATGGGTATGCACAACCACACCCAGCTAATTTTTTATTTTCGGTAGAGACAGCATTTCACCATGCTGGCCAGGCTGGTCTCAAACTCCTGACCTCAAATGATCCACCTGCCTCCGGACTCCGAAAGTGCTGGGATTACAGGCATGAGCCACTGTGCCTGGCTTTTTTTTTTTTTTTTTTTTGAGACAGAGTCTCACCCAGGCAGGCTGGAGTGCAGTGGCATGATCTTGGCTCACTGCAACCTCCTGGTTCAAGCCATTCTCCTGACTCAGCCTCCCAAGTAGCTGGGATTACAGGCATGTGCCACCACGCCTGGCTAATTTTTGCATTTTTAGTAGAGACAGGGTTTCACCATGTTGGCCAGGCTGGTCTCGAACTCCTGACCTCAAATGATCCTCCTGCCTTAGCTTCCGAAAGTGCTGGGATTACAGATGTGAGCCACCGTGCTGGGTGAAGAATTGTTTATTTTGGAAAACAGTCCCTTATCAGATGTCTTCATTTTTTTTTTGAGATGAGGACTCCCTCTGTCACCCAGGTTGGAGCTCAGTGGCACTCTCTGGGCTCACTGCAACCTCCACCTCCCAGGTTCCAGGTTCAAGCAGTTCTCCTGCCGCAGCCTCCCAAGTAGCTGGGATTACAGGCAGCCACCACCATGCCTGGCTAATTTTTGTATTTTTAGTAGAGACAGGGTTTCACCATGTTGGCTAGGCTGGTCTCGAACTTCTGACCTCAGGTGATCCACCTGCCTTGGCCTCCCAAGTGCTGGGATAACAGGCATCAGGCACCTCACCTGGCCAAAATATAGTAAATGTTTAGTAAATTACTGTTGAACGGAAAACTGAATGGGTGTTCTGAGGAGAAAGTTTAACCACGGGAATTTGGAGAGAGGTGGGTTGAGTCCCTGACAGTTACCTTCATTCCAGCACCAGCTGGTCAGGCCCCTCTGAGACCCATGTGATTTCCAAATAGGATCAAGCCACCCCTTCTGAGCAAGAGATTGACCTGGAGGCTCTCATGGATCTATCCACAGAGGAGCAGAAGACTCAATTGGAGGTAGGATGGGGTCTAGAAGCGGGCCTTGGGTCAAGGGGAACCCAGGAACCCAGGTTCTGCCTCCTTCGGTGGAGTGGAGAGAACCAATCCACAGGGGAGAACTCATGGGAGATTGGTGGGAACTTGTGGGAAAGTGCTGTGACTTGGGGGCTACTCTTTGCTCTCTCCTATCTAGGCCGTTCTCAGGAACTGCCCCCGCCCCACAGAGGTAAGGGACATTCTGCTGGTCTGGGGTAAGAGGAGTCCCAGTGGGGGAGGCAGCTAATGAAGAGGAGTATTTGAAGGGAAGGTTTGGCTGTGGGTCCTTCTCCCTCCTCTGGGGAAACAGGGTCAGTGCAAGATTAGGGAGGGCAGGGTGGGGGGTAGATTGTGATCCCAAGCCTTGGTCTCACTCCTGTTTCTCCCTCAGTCTTTTATCTCTGAGCTGCTCAGTCAACTCAAGAAACTCCGGAGACTCAGTCGACCTCAGAAATAAGCCCGGAAGATCATCTTTAGCAGCCTCAGCATTACCAGGCCTGACCTGACACTCCAGATCCTAAGAGGGAAACATCTCCTTGGGACACAAACAAGAAACGTGGATAAGGAGGGACATTTGCACACTCCTACTGTCTGTGTGGTCACAGCTAGTCTCTGTCAGCTGGGCTCTCTGGGAGAGGGCTGGCTGTTGTCCAGTGCTTTCCTTGGCAGCCAAGTGGATAAAACCTTTAGAAGCCTCAGCTCAATGGAGTGTGGAACATATCTGTGCTGAGGGACAGGGGAGGGAGAGGATGAAGTGATACACAACCTGAATTGGGAAGGCCACAACCTGAGTCACTAGGCTGTACCCACACATCTCATCCATCCATCCAAAGGACTCAAGAATTCAAAGACAAAGGTCACAGCTCCACTTCAGCGAAATCATAATCTAGCAAGGCCAAGGGGCCAAGCAGACATTATCTGCCTAAGGTACATAGCTTCCTGGCATAACCAACAAGAGGGAAGCCAGTGGCAAAGACTAATTTCAAATCCTAGAGAGGAACTAACAGGAAAAACCTAGCTGGATCTGAGTCTCAGAAAAGGTTCCTCCAACCACAAATGATGCAGAAGGTAGACCTCAGCCTGAGGGTTCTTTCTTGAGTAGGTTCCAGCCAGGGGCATGAAGAGACACAGCAGAGGCAACACAGAGGCATGTAAAGGATGCATGCTGAGAGGCCAAGGGTCCGGTTAGGGTGAGTTACTGGAAGAGAAATACTGAGACTGAATGGCAGGCAGGTTAGTGGGGAGTCCTAGGAGGCGGGGTCTTTTGCCAGTAACGCTGGAAGCATGGCGTGTGTGCATTGTTACTGCATGCATTATGTGAGTAGTAGAGAGGCTGAGAAACCCAACAAGGTGTGGCCTGGTGGCTAAGTGGGGCTGCCCAGAGCTGGAAGCACAGTTCAGTTTAATGAATGTGCATGCTTGCTTCGTATGAGACTACCAGGATGGGTAGGGCTGCTCCTGCCTGGAGAAGTTCATAGGATGGCTCAACCATTTCCCTCATTCATTCCCCACAACTGTGCTTTTAGCCTGCTCTGTTCCTGCCACCTCTCACCGGGACCAGGCTCACAGGGTTGTAGAAATGAGATGCTGGATCCAATGAATCAATATACTTTATTAGGTCCACTAAGTGTCAAGGGAGAGCCCTGTGCCCTAGAGTCAGGTTACAGGGCTCACCTGTAGATTCAGTCTGGTCTCTCCCCATCATGCCTCTCACTTCTAATCTGGGCTTCTAGTAGGAGGGCCTCTACTTCTTCCCTTGGCCCTCCTAGTCATCCTCTCGAATGGAGAATCTTTCTTCATTCCAGGAAAACCAAGTCTCATGAAGGGGCCTATCCATCATCAGTAGAGCCAGAGCTCTCCCATTGGACATCCTGTGGCTGGGCCCAGAAACCAGTGCTGCCTGCTGTGGGACTGCCTTTCCGGGAGAACCAGGGTGTCATCAGTGCTCTCGGCCTGCACGCGGAGGGCAATAGGCAGATGTCTGGTGCTCTTTAAGCTCAAAAGCATCATGGCCTTCCCTGTGGAACAAAGGGATACAAGTTAGGGATCCAGGAAGCCCTTGAGCCCTCCCACAGGACATTCCACCTGCACCCACCGGAAGCAGCGGGCACAGAAGAGGTCACCATCGCAGCCAGCACAGCGCAGGGAAGCATCCTCATTGCAGATGCAGCACCAGGGGAGCTCCTCTTCCTCAGCCTCAGGCCTGAGGTCTACATCCTGGGCCTTCAGGGACCAGAGAGGAATGGAAGAAGTAAGGTACCCAGTGGGGTGTGGGAGCTGCTGGGGGAGCCGTCAGCCAGACAGGAAACAAGGCTGTGGGCGGCCTGGGGGTCTGCATCTGGGACTTTTCTCACCTCAGGCTCTACCCCGCAGGGTTGGGTCCGGGGTTGAGAAGCCGGCTCCACAGGGATGTTAAAGCCACTTGCCTCGTCCAGGGCAGCTTCTTCAGTGAGCTGTGGACGAGATCAAGAGGTACCACTCCCTGCTCTAAGCCCAGGCCCCCTACCTCCCAGTATTTCTGTGCTCTGTGGACTTAGCTTCTCAAACTCATCTTTTTCTTTATTTGTGGCCTGTGGCTGCTGATTCCGTATCTCAGGGAACCAGTGGGCGGTCTGGGTCACAGGGACAAAGGGACAAAGGGGGGCCGATGGGAACAGGGCTGCAACAGTTACTGCCCACCCAGCCCCATAGTGGAGGTGGGGCAATGATGTGGAGAGATGGGACAGGGTGGCGGGCGGATAAGCCAGGCCCACCTGCTGCAGGACTCTCTGGATGGCT